GAGTTCTGCCACAATGCACTACATCAGGCCTAACAAAGACCAAAGTATATGCATGATCTAAATGAGGAGTACACAAAATACCCTCAACAAATGTTTGCTGAACTTACTATTTACCAAATAAATCTTACTAAAAGTATACAAAATAATTTCTTTATAACACAAGGAACATATACTCATTTTTGAACACAGAAGAAGTAAATAATTCAAAAAGGCGACATAACCAGTGTTACACTGGAATGTGTAATTCTTTTAAATGTTTTCCATATATATGTAGAGCAATATTATAGTGAATTAGTTTATTACTGTTGCTGTAACAAATTACCACAAAATTAATTGCTTAAGACAAAAACACATTTATTATCTTGTAGTTCTGGAGGTTAGAAGTTCAACACAGGTCTCCTGAGCTAGTTATCATGTTGGCAGGGCTGTATTCTTTTGGAAGGTTTAGGGGAGAGTCTGTTCCCTTGCCTTTTTCTGCTTCTAGAAGTTGCCCATATTCCTTGGCTCTTGGCCCCTTCTTCCATTTTCAAAGCCAATAACGTTGAATCTCTGTAACTGTTCTACAGTTACCTCTTCCCTGACCTCAGCTGGGAAAAGTTCTCCTATTTTATTTTAAGGACTCATGCGACTAGCTTGGACTCTCATGGATAATACAGGAGTCCGATTCAAGGTCAGATTCACAAAATCCCTTTTGCCATGTAAAGTAATATAGGGCTTCTTGGATGGCTCAGTGGTAAAGAATCTGCCTGCCAAAGCAGGAGACATGAGTTTGACCCCTGGGTCAGGAAGATCCCTTGGAGGAGGAAATGGCAACCCACTCCAATATTCTTGTCTGGGCAATGCCATGCACAGAGGAGCCTGGTGGGCTACAGTCCATAGGGTTGCAAAGAATTGGACATGACTTAGCGACTAAACAACAATAACAACAAAGGAACATATTCTTAGGTTCCTAGAATTAGGACAGGGACATGTTGGGGGCCATTCACACATAGAGAATGAACATCTAATGTTCAAGGAGGTTACCCAAGATCACAAAGTTTGTAAATATTAAATAGCAGTTTTTTCAGATGGCAAGAGTCTGACACAATCAGATTTTCAGGGAATGAAGATGTATGATAAAGGCACGTAAGAAGAATAGCAAAGAGCCTGCGTAAACGTGGGACGAGCCTCCCAGGAACTGACACTTTGTCCTCGTCTACAGACACCAGGATCTCACCGATACCCGGCCACAGCTGCCCACAGCACCGCAGGAAGCCACTGCCTGTTTCTGGGCCTTGACACTCTCACACCCTGTTGAGGCTCCCCCAGTGCCCTGCTCAGCTTCCTAAACTCTATGGATTCACGGCCTTAGCCCACTGCCTCCTCTCCATGAGTCTCTTGGTTTTGAAGAGTCTCTTCTGTCCCTTGTATTTCTGTCTGGGTGTCACCTTCCTGCTTCCTAAGAGAGGATCTGATGGAGTCTGTTGGTCACTACAGGACCCTGGACATCCCTGTCTCATAAAGGGCTCCCTTTGGCTGCTGGTCAGCTTACGGGTGGCCATCTTCAAAACTGCCCCCTCCTATTTCCATCAGCCAGGATGACAGGGTCAAATGTGATGATTTGTTTGTATGTAACGAATCACCTTGGGTCCCTTCTTTCAGAATAGGGCCATGAGCAAGTGGTCACAGAGAGACTTTTCTCCAAAGCCAAGGCTGGAATATCTTCCCTGTGGACCCCTGGGGACAGTGAATGAATGCTGGGTACATGGAATGAATCTTGATGAATGAAAGCATGTAAGCAGGGGCTGAACAAGGGGAAGAGAACAGGGCCCAGAACTAATACTGAATATGGACATTTCAAAAACGATTTGGGTAATTGATTTCAGTTCTTTAAGGTCCTAATTGCTGATCTTCGACAAAGAGGCCACACAGGCTTATGAAAGTTCTAAAATTGTATCATATTTATCAGTCACCAGAACCTCAAGTTGCTCCCACAAACCACATAGGGCCTTGCGAAATAAGGCTTTGGAAAGGAGACCCTGAAGTTTCTAAATTTTCACCCTTTTGTTTCTCCATCTGCATTTGCTCTGAAAGGGGAAAGTGATCTCATTAATTTGGAAAGAATGAGTCGAAACAAGTTTCAGAAGGAGAAAACTTCTCTTGGGCGTGCCGAAGCCTGCCACCACCACCCCCCTTCCTCATGGAAGAATGCTGCTGCGGAAGTTTCAACGGAGAGTTTCCACAAAAATGTGTGCTGTGGTCACAGCTCAGAGATGCCAACACAAATCTCACACACGGCCACCTCCTGACGGAGAATACAGCCTAGGCTGCCCTTTAGTCTGAACCTCGATAACCAGGGACAGAAACTGATTTCAAATTTCAATGAATTACATGTGAGGAAATGGCCATCTGACAGAGGTCTTAGCATAAATTCTTTCCCCTGGTGACAGGCCTTGGGATGTCACCATGTTACACACGAGCAGGGCTTTTTCTACGTGGTTTGCTCTTTTTCCTCTCCTCTTGTGCTTTTAGAGAGAATGCCAGTGGCATGTTGTCACCTCGATTTTCCGTACCCCATAATAATTCATTGAATTCATTCATCTTTACTCTGAAGCACACAACATTCTTCACGCAGGCAAACAAAACATTTTTTTTTTTTTTTTTTAGCAATTACCACTGTGTTAGGATCTGGGGATAAACCAGTGAGTAAATAGATACTGAATATATTGTGTATATTATTTGCTTTATCTACAAATAATGTAAAGATAGAACTTAAATTGGCTTGAAACAATAAATGCTTGTTACCTCCCTAAGCAAGAAATCTGGGGGTAGATCAAGAAATACCTTCATGTCAGTTTTATTCTCAGGTGGTTGGTTCCCTCATAACTGCAAAGTGGCTGCAATAGCTCTAGGTAGTACCTTCTCAACCACATCCAAATGCAAATAAGTATATAAATAAATAAAGCCAAATGAAAATAGCCCCCCTTTTGGGTCCCACTCCCCAGCAGATGTGCCCTCAAGTCTTGGGAAGCAGAATTGCATCTCAAGCCTGTTCCTCAGTTAATCAAGCAGCATGACAAATGAGATGGGCATCATTTGCTTAGGCTAGTCAAATATTGCCTCTGGGGATTAGGAGAAGGCTGTCTTTGCTGAAGCACAGGGCTGCCCCATACACAAAGAAAATTCAGTTCTGTTAGCAGCAAGAAAGGATTAACTATTGGACAAGAAACCAAAAAGTCAGCATTAGTGTGGAGTTTCTAGATGACACATGAGGGACAGGAGAAACATTCCTCAACATACACATTTTTTGTAGGGAGTCCAAAAGACAGAGGTTCCAGTATCCACCTTGCTACTGAGCAGTTATAAGATCTTGGGTTAATCTCTTGGAACCTCAGTTTCTGCAGATGTAAAATGGGAAATCGTACCTATCTCATTGGGTTGCTCTGAGGATCAAATACATTAGCATTTGCAAAATACCGAGCACTCTGCCAGGCCCATAGGGATTGTCCAATGAATGTCATTTCCTTCCCCAAAGTCAGGCTGCTTTCGGCTGCTCAAATCTAAATGGCTGGGTAACTGAGCAGTCAGTCAGCTTGTATTCTAATTGATAAGCACTGGGGTATGAAGACTTACAGAGGCTTCCAGGTGGAGGTGTCACTATCACAGTTACTAGGAATCATTCAGTTCAGTCGCTCAGTCGTGTCTGACTCTTTGTGACTCCATGGACTGCAGCACGCCAGGCCTCCTTGTCCATTGCCAACTCCCAGAGTTTACTCAAACTCATGTCCATTGAGTCGGTGATGCCATCCAACCATCTCATCCTCTGTCTTCCCCTTCTCCTCCTGCCTTCAGTCTTTCCCAGGCTCAGGGTCTCTTCCAATGAGTCAGTTCTTCGTATCAGGTGGCCAAAGTATTGGAGTTTCAGCTTCAGCATCAGTCCTTCCAATGAATATTCAGGACTGATCTCCTTTAGGATGGACTGATTGGATCTCCTTGCAGTCCAAGGGACTCTCAAGTCTTCTCTAACACTATAGTTCAAAAGCATCAATTCTTTGGTGCTCAGCTTTCCCAAAATGCTTTGATACAGCCAGTGGGTCCTTTCCAGCTTTTCTCCCTATTACTCTATCTTTCTATAGAATTGCTACTATCATCCATCTGTTGGATGTGGGGAGTGAATGAAAGGAACCAGGGTTAAGGCCAAAGGTTTGGACTCTGGCAAGTGGAAGAAAGAGTGGTCATTTTAAAAGATGAGGAAGGCTATCAGGGACATGGTGGGGTGGGACAGAGAGTTAGATTTAGGGCAGGTTAAGTTTTGGTGGTGGTGGTGGTGGTGATTTAGTTGCTAAATTGTGTCTGACTCTTTTGTGATCCCATGGTGGGAGGGGGTAGCCCATCAGGCTCTTCTGTCCATGGGATTTCCCAGGCAAGAACACTGGAGTGGGTGGCCATTTCCTTCTCCAGGAGATCTTCCCGACCCAGGGATTGAACCCATGTCTTGCATTCCTGGTGGACTGAGCCACCAGAGAAGCCCAGGTTAAATTCTAGAAGGTTCTTAGACGTTGAGTGTAGCCACCGAGAAGCAAGTAGGATATACAAAGGCGGACGCTGGGGAGAGGTCTGGAGATAGACCTTTGGGTGTCACGGGCTTCAGGGTGACATTTGAAGCAGTAACACTGGTGAGATCACCAAGGGCGTGTGCTCAAAAAGGGAAGCGAACTGACACGTGAGTGTTGGGCATGTGAAGTGGAGAGGCTGGGATAGGCGGGTTCCCAGCAGGGGAGGCTGAGGACGACTGACCTGAAAGTTAGCACGGGGTGTCCTGAAAGACCAGCGAGGAGCGCCCGGGGACGGGGTGGGGGGTGTGAGGGGGTCATCTGCTGAAAGGGAAGTCCGACAGGGACCAGGAACTGCCCGCTGGAGTCAGGGATGCGGGGGCCCACGGTGGCCTTGACCAAGCAGTTTCAGCCATGGGTGGGAAGGAAGGGGGAGAGAAGTTGGAGGCTGCAGGGCAGACAACTTCTTCAAGAGCTTGGCTGTAAATCAGAAGAACGGGGTGAAAGTGAAAAGAAGGTAAAAGGTTGAGGGAGGCTTTTTTTGGTTGTTGTTAAGACAGGAGATCTAATGTGCTTCAATAGTTGACTATCTAACAGGGAGATTTTATGACACGAGGAGAGAGGAGTGACTTGTCGGAGGGAGGTCTTGAAGAAGGCGAAGGGATGGGATCGAAGAAGTAATGGGGGGTGGGGGCTGGCTTCTGTCAAGAGTGTGTTAAACGTCTGCGGCATCGCTGCCTCAGCCTTCATGTTGTTTGGCCAAGTGGCCCGTGGGGGCCTTAAACGGACACATATAAACCCATGCCCCAGAGAGCGGCCTGCAGAGTCACAGGCAAATGTGAGTTCCTGATCTGACTTCCCCAGCAAGCCTGTGATCAGCAGGCTCCCCTGTCTCCCAGCACCTTCCTCTTGCATGCCCCGTTGATAAGACCCCGTGGTGCTCACCAAAACCACACTCATTTTGGTTTGAGTTGACCAATCTGGCCTTCGCCTGGGAACCCCAAGGCCCTCCCACCGTGACCCTCATAGAGGCACGTGCCCCAGGTCCCATCACCCTCTCCGGCACACCCCACCCTGACCTCCCCTTGTGGCCCCTAGCACCATGCCCTGTGCTTCCTCCAGGATCCACGGTAATGAAGCAGCTTCACTGTTTCCTGTGGTCTTTTGTTGAACCTCCATCACCATCCTGCACTCTGCGCTTCCCTTAACAAATGTTAACAAAGTCAGTAATAGCTTCTCATGATGAAGGAAGGGCAGGTGACAGGTATGAGGGTGTGAGTGGGTGCATGACCTCTGCTGACCCTTGTATTTTTTCTGTGAAATAGAAAAGAAGGTCATCAGCCAAGACTGAAGTCTGGGGAGGAGGTGATGAGGTTTAAGGAGACAGGACAGGATGTGAGATAGTCATCTAGAAGAGGAATGGATTAGGGAAACTGAATCCACACTGGTTACCACATGTTGACTGCTATATCTATTTTTTAGCCCTGGGATCTCTCCTGAATGGAGAAGGAAATGCCAAACCACTCTAGTATTTTTGCCTGGAGAATCCCCATGGACAGAGGAGCTTGGCAGGCTCTAGTCCACTGGGTCGCAAAGAGCTGGACACAACTGAAGTGACTTAGCATGCATCTGTCATGAACTCCAAAATCATAAATCTATCTACCTACTGATCACTATTCCCTGGCTTTCTCATGGGAAAATTAAAGCCATTCTCTCTCTGCCCACTTCCAGCCAGTCCTCCTGTCCTCCCCAGTTCAGGGACTTCACTGCACAGCCCCAGTTTCCAAAGCAGAATAATAAAAATCTTTGAGTAGTTCTTGAACCAGCATAGGACAATCTCTCTTATTTCCTGAGGCTGAGAGCAGTGGAAGGGAATCACCTTTTGGAAGGACCATTATCAGTTCAGTCTGAACATTATCTGTGAGCAATCTGGGAGTGGTGAGTAGTTCAGCTGATATACACTGGGCCACTCAGTTGTGGTCCTTATTTGTGTTTTAATGTAAATGAGTTTCAGGTCCTTCTTGAGAGAAGATTGTGGCTGGGAAACTGTGGACAGTTCTGTGCCCGGAGAGCTGGGGGCAGAGGCCTGGGGAGTAGAATGGGGAAGGGAAAGGGGAAGGAGGTGGCCCAAGGGCGCTCGACTTTACTTCCTTCCTGGATCTGCGTGCAAGGCCAGGAGGCAATTTGCCCCTCGCCTTTCTGAGCCCCAGGGCTCTCAAAATGTTCAATGAAGAAGAAGAAAAAAATCTGGTTTTACAACTTTGCATTATCTGTGCTTGATTAGATTCTCATGTGAACCAGGCATATGGATGGTTACCTTAAAATATGCATTTCTTTAAAAAGAAAACTCCCATTTGCATTTTGACCACTTTCCTTTGGTGTCGTTGCTGGGCTGGGTTCAGCCACCTCCAAACCAGAAAAGGTTTCATGGGCACAGGGAAGCTATAAGCAGGGAGGATTGCGCACTTGACTCTCAACAGAAACAGGGAGATGACCAAGTGGAAGGAAGGAAAGTCATCACTTACTGAGTGCCACCCGGGTGCCCAGGTCTGCGTGGACAAGTCTCAGGGAGATCCTCTCGGGGGCTCCACATTTCCTCTGGTTCTCCTCCAAATCTCTGGTATCAAAGATTAGCCCAGATGGCGAACACACCTCCTGCCAAGTCACTGACATGAGTATTAGTAACAACTAATATTTACCGAGCACATAATGCACGCCAGGTGCTTCACAGGGATTCCTGCATTTAGTACTCTCAACACCTTAGGAGAGGGTTCTCATCCATATGCTCGTGTCCGGACAAAATAACTGAACCCTCGAGATGCTGACTTGTCCAAAATCAACGGTGCTGTGATTCAAACTCAGGTTCCTGAGATCATACGTTTATTAATAGTTGTTATGGGATATCACCTTTACTGAGACATGAAAGGTATAACATTACACCTGCTCTCAGTAGAACTTGCCCCTATATTTATGTTTGATGTCTTCAAGGCCCTTAATTTTTGCTTCCTTTTTCTCCCCGAAGGCATTACCTCTTCACTTAAGGTACCTATAGTCCTTCTTTGGGGCTTCCCAGGCGGCACTAGTGGTAAAGGATGCCAATGCGGGAGATGTGAGAGTCCTGGGTTTGATCCCTGGGTTGGGAAGATCCCCTGGAGGAGGGCATGGCAACCCACTCCAGTATTCTTGCCTGGAGAATCCCATGGACAGGGGAGCCTTGTGGGCTGCAGTGCATAGGGTCACAAAAGAGATGGGCATGCCTGAGTGACTGAGTGAGCCTGCACGCACGCAGCCCTCCTATACCCTATACCTCCCTCCACTACATATAGTCCCTCCTCTTGAGCCTCCATCCCACTGTGATGCTCTCGGTCATCACAGAGCACCAAGCTGACTCCCTGTGTTTTGCCTTTTGGTTGTTTACGGTTTGGGGATGTCTTGGGCTGGTGACTGGTTGGAATATCTAGGTTAAGAACCTTCTCTCAAGGTTTCCTGCTTATCTGGAGAAGGTGTGCTCCAGAACCAATCACAGGAGGTGTGATACAGAACAGGTGCCCTGGCCTCATTCGCTCCAGGAGCTGTGATTCTGAGACTCTGAGCCTACTCTGCCTGAGCTTTCATTCATTCACCAAGAAAGCATGGCTGCCTCAATTGGCACCAGGGGTGCTCTGATCACAATGCAAAGTGGGAGACAGACATTAAATAAAAAAAACTTCAGTGAAAAGTGGGTAGATCTCATCTCTCATTGGTCCTTTTCCTTCCTTCCTTCCTTACTCTACTGACATTGTAATTTTTCTCCCATCCTTTTGCTCCAAGCCTGCCAGATGCCATGTATCTAGAATCATCCTTCCAGCCTTTTGCCAATATCCCATCGTGGACTTTCCCGCCTCACTTTTGCTCAGTGAGCTGCCAGCCAGAAATCCCATGGCTTGTGGCCCATTTTTCCTCTGCCATTAGCCTTTTGGTCATTCCAAACACACAGGATTAGGAAAAGTGTCAAGAACAGAGACCAGCTGATAATCAGGTTCAGAGTATCCATTAATTAACTCACTTATTCATTCAGCAAGCATTGCATAGTTGGTATCTGCCAGGAATTGAGATATAAAAAACAAAAACACAGTTTCTGCAGAGTTAAAAATATATCTATAAATGTCCAAAGGCAAGGACCACATCTATCTTCTTCATGACTCCGTCCCTAGTATTTAACTCCTTAGCACAGGGCAGGAACTCAACAAATGCTTGTGACTAAAACAATGAATTCATATTTTGGCTGAAAAGACAGATATATAAAGGGCAGTAATACAGTGGGTGATCATTTATTCAATAAATGTTGATTGACTATCTCCTAAGTGCTGAATATCTCCTAATATGACAAAGAAGACAGATGCAGTCCTTGACCTTTTGAGTCTTACAGTTAAAAATTTGCACCAATAAGTATTAGAGTTGTGATAAATAATGTGAAAAAGTGCAAGGTCACAATATGATGAATACTGTTTTGTCGTTTATTTTTTATTTACTTTATTTATTTGGCTGTGTTGGGTCTTACTTGCAGCATGCGGGATCTTTAGTTGGGGCATGCGAACTCTTAGTGGCAGCAGGTGGGATGTAGTCCCCTGACCAGGGATCAAGCCTGGGGCCCCTGCTTTGGGAACGTGGCGTCTCAGCCACTGGACCACCGGAGAAGTCCCTGACATGACTACCAGTGATGTGTGTTATTATTGACTAATGCCTAAGGAGTCTTCACCCTTAGATTTAAATATTTTCACATGCTTACTTGCATAACCTCCAAGCAAGGCCAAGAGTCCCTGGCTGGAACTCTCAACTTGCCTACTATTTCCTAGTCTTTCCTCAACTTGTCCACTCACTACGTGCTTCACAGAGGCAGAGAGCCTGAGCGCTAGCTCGCTGCATAAGTGAAATATGGTGGAACTTGGGGACAGAGAGGGAGGGAGCTTTAAGAGTAGCTTAACTGAGTTAATTGATCTTTATAAATGTCCTGGGCCAGAGGGAAACAAGTAATCCCATCATGAGCCTTAGCATCTTAGCTACTCACAATATGACAGGGCTCACATCCACTTGGGCGTATGAGTTTTCTTCATAGAAGAGTATGAGATATAAAAGCCACAGAAAATTGCCTGAAAAAAAAATGCATTAAATGGATTCTTGGCAAAAGACTGAAAAATGTCCTAGGCCGATGGAGCAAGTTATTTTTAGACAGTTTTGTCCTAAAATATGTTGATGTGTCTGTGAATGAGTTCATAACACATCCTAAAAACTCCTTTGGCCTGATCCTTATTAAAAAAAAAAAAACTCCATTTTTCCTTTTATTACATAATAAAATAAAAAAGCTGTCTCCCGGTGCTGTCTCTTGGAAACAATCCTCAGCTGAAATGCCTTTTTTCTGCTTCCATCTTTACGTTCACCTTCATATGAGCTCCCTTCCTTCTTGTTTTTCTTCTGGGGTATGCCCTACTTTTGTAACCTAAAGACATTAATAGCAATTTAAATTGTTTACACCACCATTCATGTAGTATTTTAGTTGTCCCCGTTTTTAACCCATGAGCTCAATCTTATGACTCAGCAGATTTCCTACATTTCAGCCCTCTGCTCTTTTTCTAATGAAAAAATTGAGGACCAACACTTTACATGGCATTGCAAGGGTGGGATTAAAGTCACTGGTAGTTACAGAGATCTGACTTTTTGATAAGAGGCTGGCCAGTGATTAGAAGACTTCACCTACTTGGTCTTAAAGTGGAATTAGTCCAGATGGTGCCAACGGGAATTAAGAGCTGCATGGTCCTGGAGCAAACACAATGCCTGTCTTATGGATGTTGTTAATCTCAGAGGTAAATGAGGGACATAGGGCTTTCAGAGGCCCGGCCACACATTTTGTGGTGATTATAGTACCAAATACTCACGATTCAAAGTGACTGGTTATCAGATACTAGAAACATCTTCTAAGTCAT